CAGGTTATAGCAGGTCCTATGTATCTTAAGAGAGATGGTAACTTTAGTAAAGAGTAGACAGTGGTGAGGCATAATAAGTCTTATTATATGCTGTAAGTTGTTATACCAAGGATAATGATCCACAACTGTTCAGTGCAGGCATAGTTATATCACAGGGTGCTCACAATTGCCCACCACAGCACTCACAAGAATGTCCAGATGTTTTCATGCCATGCCCCATGTCTACTTAGAGGAGTGAAGTAATTAGCTTAAATTAGAGCAAAGGAAATTTAAGTTAGATCAAGGCTGTGCAACTCCCACCAGGGCTTAAATTACGGTCCCTGGGCTCCCACGCAGTCACTGTTCCCCCATTGCTCTGACTGCAGCAGCAGCTGAGATGTTCAGGCTCCCTTTCTCTCCAGTTCCCTGTCCTGCCTCTGCCCCTGCAAAAGGAGACATCTGAATGATGTGGTGCAATGGGTGAGTGCATGGCCAGTGAGGTAAAAGTGAGGCGGGGCATCTTAGAGTATGATGCAGTGGGGGGAAGGAGCAGCAGAGGGCATGTGGTGCAGTGGAGGGATGCAGGTTGGAGCAGGGTATGCTGTGCAGAGGGGGTCACCTGGGCACATGGTGCAGCATGGGACACTGAGGCACATGGTACAATAGGTGATAATATGATGCAGTGGCAGGTGGTGGGAGCAGCAGTGGGGGGGCATGCAGTGTAGTAGGGAGGGACAGGGAGCAGCAGTGAGGGGCATGGTGCAGCAGGGAGGTGCAGGAAACAGCACTGGGGGGGGCAAGCAGTGCAACACAGGATACTCATGTGCACATGCAAAGAGAAGTCACCAGGGGGCAGCAATGAGAGGGCTGCAGTACAGCAGTGAGGGAGGGTTATATGGCCCCCAGGTACCATTCTGCAGGGGCCAGTAGCATGGTTCAAGGGACATACGGCCCCCAGCCTCTTAGAAGCTGGAAGTTGGCCCCGAGTTAGGTATTAGGGGAAATGTTCTAACTGCCTTAAGTCGCATGGACAGTCTTTTTGTGTGGCATACGTGACCAGGAAGGGGATGGGAGCACAGTGGCAGACAGGAGGGAGTGAAAAGCAGACTAGCAGATCAGGCTAGGGAAGGGGATCAAAGTGGCACTCCAGGAGGGAGCAGGGCTCAATTTGTGGCATACCTGCCAAAAAGGTTGTCCTCCACTGCCTGGAAATGATTACATTTCAGAGCATCCTCTTGCTACATGGAAGAGTTAATCTTTTCACTTCATAGTTCTGATATGATTAAACAGAGCTAAATTAGCAGCTCTAGCCTTCCCATGTTTCATTCACAATAAATCCTACATCTCCTTTGTTTTTAACCAGTCAAGTTCCTAGATCCTGTTCCATAAACTGTAAATGGCACTTCCTTTCTTTTCCAGGGTATCCTGATTTATCCTAGCTGGGGCCTGCCAAGGTACTTTTTATATTAATAGGGTAGTTATTATTTATATAGTGAAAGTATAGTGCAAAGGATTCTAACACATTTTACAGCTTTAAATGGCTTTACAGATTATACTCAGGGATAAATTTCCTGCACCTCTGAAAAGTACCCCACCCTTTTTAACAACCTACAGCAACCTACACAGGTTAGTATGGGAGCATGGCGTAGGTTGTGAAGGTAACTCCTTAACAACCTACACGGTTTAGGGTAGGAAATGAGTAATACCTTATACAATTGAAACCACAGGAGAATGAAGGTAAGTAGAATATAACTGAAAGGCCAACAGTTTAAAAACAGGGTATTTTAAAACAAAAGATTCCTCATCTATATAACTAGTGACACTTCAGATTATTAGAACAAAAGAAAGGAAATAATTGAGATTGCCACTCAGCATTTTTACTGTCCCCCTCTGCCTGATCCCAGACAATTAAAACAACTAGATTTACTTCCAAATTTTCACGCATTTGTATGATAAAGAGCTACTACAGAGAGGGGCTTGGTCCCATCAGTGTTCGCAAGTCAGTGGGATTTGGAGGGTGCTCAGCACTTGGCAGGATTGGGCCCAGTTTTCAGGCTGTAAGCACTTCACAGAAGAATTTCTTTCCAAGACTCTTTCTACCATCACTTTTAGGCAGTGGTGCTCAGCCTTTTTGACCAGCAGTCTGGATGGTCAGTGCCAGGTCCCTGCGTGAGCTAAATCCTGCTGGTGGACCCAATGTGGCTCCAGAACAAGTGCAGCAGAGACCCATCCAGCTGCATGGAGTCGGCAGGGGGCAGCCCAGCCCCAATCCAGTTATATGGGGGAAGGGGATTTGGTCCAGCCCCAGGGGAGGAAGGGCCATCATCTGGCCCGGAAGCAACCATGTAGGAGGAAGGTCATGACCCGGTTCTGACCCTCCATGTAAGGGCTTGGGATTTTGGCAGTGGAGAGGGGTAGCAGAATAAATTGCTATTGCTCCCCCACCACCAAATTTCCCCAGTCCTTCAGGACCCCCATGGGCCAGATTCCAAGGCTCAGTGAGCTGCATTTAACCCATGGACTGCAAGTTGAGCACCCCTGATTTAAGGCAACAGGGATGGATTTCTATGGGTCTTCAATTTAGCAAAAGCTTGCTTAATAAATGGATAACAATTGGCCTGAATTGTTCCTTCCAGCTGAGTACATACTTGAATAAGGTGTAAAGGTGTACCCCCCCACCCCAGCAGCAAATCTGTTAAGCACTCAGAAGCCTCCCACCCCTCCACTTTGAATTCTGCTCGAACAAAGGAATCAGCTCAGCTTCACGCTGTTCCTCCCCCCTCCCC